GTTAGAAGGATGAAGTAGGGATTGGTAAACAACTTTCTCAAGAAAGTTCTCCCACAGCGCGGGGTAAATTGAAGCCAGATGCTGAGTTCCAGCGCGTGAGAACCTCTATCGCTCACGCTCAATTCTGCTACCTCGTGGTCGTGCGTGTAAGCCACATGCACGCGTCACTGGCAATGGCTTACAATTCTGACTTGATTCTATGTTCACACTTCTTTGAATCCGACCGTTTCAAATTTCGTGACTTTTCCCTCTTTGACCCTTTCCCTAGCCTACTTGTATGCGATTTTTAGCTTTAAAAATCAACCACAAACCGGTGTGGGGCAGGGTAAGAAGCGGCGAAACAAACACCGACTCCAGGAAACATTCCGTAATATGACGACTTTCTGTTTGCTTTCTTTGGGTTTGGTTCATCTGGGCAGCATCATTGGTCGCACAGGGATGGGGACGTCGAACGTCCACCACAAGATTAGTTACAGTGTACTGACAAACAACGGGTAAACAACTGTTGGGAACTAGCGTGCCGGTCTGACGCCAAATCTCTCATACATGATACTCCCGAGGACTGAAGAATAGATGTTAAATCCATAATTTTCTGTTGAGACTGGGAGCCAAGAGTACATGATATAATTTGTGGGTAAGAATTTTATTATGAAATACTCTGACTCTAAAAAATAATAGACCATAATATTTTGGGGAGAATTACAGGAGTCAAAGGGAGTAGCTACATTTTTAAGTTGCTAACAAAGTTCTGGGAGAAATGGTGAAAGGCGTGCGCGCTGTCACAAGAACAGAAACGAATGTATTACATGTACTTGCAGACACAAACACACATTATACGCCCCCCCCCATACACACACACACACACACACACACACACACACAAACACACACACGTGCGCGCGCGCGAGCGCGAGCGTTTGAAAATGTGAAAGCGTAGGCTAGCCAAAATTGCAAGGGTTTGAAGAAAATATGTAGATTTCTAGTGAAGGACCTTCGCAATATCCTGATTTTAGAACATGTATCATGTATCTAGATCTAATTAGAACTAGATCTAGATTCTAGATCTAGCTCTACTATAAGATCAAGACACAAGAGGGATGGGCATGCCATGGTGGGCGTTCTATGTTTACCTCTGTGCAAGCGAAATGCTCAACGTACCAATTAGGCCGGTAAGCCTGGGCCGATTGCAGATGAACAGCTTGTTTAAAACTAGTGATTAACGGACTTGTTCGATCAATTCGCACGTCATTAGGCCTCATCCTCATTTGAGCTAGAGGCAAAGCCTGCAAATCCCGCACTGTTGACTCCACTGGAGAGCACCTACCATTCGCTTCAATGACTTCCGTTGCGTCAGATGACGTGGCATGACACGGCTGCTCCTCCCTCGTCCGGCGACTGAATGAAAAGCAGGCTCCTGTCGCTGACGCAACTGGCCCTAGTCAGTGACGTAAGGACGCAGTCTGGCGTGTTAAGTCCTGACGAGTGGGCTGCCTGCCGAGCGACTCTGACCGAGGCGCTGGTGATAATTTGGTATCTGACCTCGCAGGGGTGACTGGTCACGTAAGGACGAGCATCCACCTGACCAGGTGAAGGTTGCCTCGCTGGCGGGGAATCGTTACGTGAGGTAAGGGAAATAACTCATGATTACCGTAATTCTTTTAAGGTACCAAGAGTTACTATGAATACAAAAGAGGAAAAAATGGAATCTTTTCTCTCCTGATTGTCAACTTAGAAGAACATTATAAAAAGAAAAAGCAATCCAGTAAAAAATTATTTGTCTTAAATAAAGACAAATCTTTAAAAAGAAACATCTACAAATGTCACAATAAAGCTTATGTTCAAGAACCATTGTATCAGGAGGGCCTATGCATTATCGATTACCATTCTGGCATGAATGTCCGCTGTTTCGACTTCAGCTGATAGTCAAAGAAAAAATCATACGGTATTTATTACTGTTTATTTTAAATAAATAAGAATTAAATATAAAAGTACATTTCCAGTTCAACAGTTCGCCGAAATTCCCAACTGTGACCTATTAAAAAATTAACTGTACACCGCAGTAGGTTACAGTATGTTAAACAGTCTACCAAAAATAATATTTAGACTAATAAATGACAAACAGCAGCCCAAATCTGACAGAGGAAAAAAACACCCCCGCCAGGCCCAATGCAACGTCTATTATTTTGGTTCTGCTATAGCTCTCTACTTCTCTTCATTTAAAAACAGCACAACCAACCACGGTTCGGAAAATTATAGAGGTAACATTCAAAGGGAGATTACCAATAAAAAAATATATATATTAAGCTATAAAGAGTTATTCTCTTTTTTACCCCTGTCTTCAGAAAGTTGACAGAAAGGGCTGACGCTGTAAGTGCACACAAAATTGATATTTGTCTAGAATCTAGGAAGTCAGCGAGTCTTAAATTTTCTGCGTTTTCTTATCAGACAGCATAATATTATGCAGTATTGAATTTGAACTACCTTTTCCGCCCTAAAAAATTTATTTTAAAAAGCACTCCGCATGGGATGTTGACTAGGGGGACATAACTCAAATTTAATTTTAGAATTGCAAAAAAGTTGGAGTTTTGTCCCTTATTCAGTGTTCCTCCGTTGAGTCCGAGAAAAACAAATTATCTCACAACGTTTAGCTGATGTATGATTTCAATTTATTTAGGGGGAAAAAAAACCCATTGTATCAAGTACTAGACCTCTAACTATAATGATAAGCTAACAATATTCACTATGCAGTCAGAAAGTGTCACAGTTCTATTGTTCGAAGGAAAATTCAGGCCTCAAATTTGTTATTATGGGTTTTGATGCGACAGCACCTGATTTATTCACCCTAGTTTATTTTTTAGAATGGGTTCTGGTTTAAGTTTCTTGCAGTACTGATAATATTATTGTAAATCACAAGGGAATTGTATGGGCTGCAGAATTACAACAACGAGATTCATTAACAGAAATAAAAAAATATTTTGAAAGGGGGTTTCATACAGAAACCAATTAATTCATACCCTGACCAGATTATCCTATTCACACTTTGGTCTGTTCAATGTTGTTTACTGCATTTGACAAAGGAATTTGGGATCCATAGAGGGAAAAAAATGCTTATACTTATAAGTACATATTCTGTGTTCTATTTTATTTTGATTTGCTCCCCAGTACCAGTCTCCATAATGTATGGAATCTGTGAAAATAAATCATGAGAAACGTCTGCCCCAAACAACAATTATCATACCAGAATAGAGCAATACGTACATATAACAATTTGATCGACTGGTTTATCTTTATAATATTATAGACCCAGACATTTAGCTTACCAGTATGTGTGTGTATGTGTATGTGTGTGTATGTGTACGTGTGTGTATGTGTGTGTGTGTGTGTGAGAGAGAGAGAGAGA